AACAGCTTGGAGCATACTATAGCCTTTGTAACTAAGGACTTTACGCTACTGCGATTGGCATTTCAAGAAGGAGTAAGTACCAAAAATTCCGACTCGCACGTTACATTGGAACCAATGCTCTCAACACACGCCTGATCTCCCTCAGCTTGCCCTCTTCCACCTCGCACTCCTGGATAGCGCGCCTGGACTTGGGGCTTGGGCTCGAAGGATTTGGGGTTTCGGTCTTTGGTTTAGGGTTTAGGGGTTGAGGGTTTAGGATTTGGGGTTTGGGGTTAAGGGTTTAGGGTTTTTGGGTAGCAGGTAATGGCCAGATGCTCATCACGGCAGGAAATCACATTCAAAATGTCACAGAGCATGATTTCGACTCAAAGCACTACTTGTAGTACAACTGTGGCAAACACAGCAATCTGGAGTGCTTCAGCTGTGGGACAAACATTCCAGCAAGAACGCAAGGACGTGCCGCCAAGCCAGTCACAAATGATCGCAGTCCAGCGCCTGCTGCCCGCTAAGCCCAAAACTCTCAACTGCTAGCCTATGTGGGAGTTTCAGAACAGTAGGATCCTTACAAACTCCAAACACCCCTAGATAAAGTAACAGTATTTTTCTGAAAGCCCCATACTGACAAACTCTACAACCCTACACAGTTAGACTTCAACCACTAGAATGGATGGGACACCGTCGAAGCCGATCCCGAAAGTCTCCGTCTGGGCCTAGCCGAGCACCCAACTAACCATCTCTGCGGGCAGGGGGTCTTTTGTTTTTGTTTAATCATTCGCGCTTACTTGCAGCATTGCAGCACCGGATTTACCTGTACACCTCCCCGTTTCGGTCTCTGTGAGTGTCCTAAGTATCCTCCTGGGCCCACAACCCACAAAGCCCAGAATCCATCTCGAAGCCGACAGGTGATGGCCTCAGGGCCAAGCCTGCTTACCTGTAATTCTGCACTTAAAACCCTGAACCCTAAACTCTGAACCTTAAGAGGTCCCTGTTTTAAAGGCCCCAAAGCTCCAAGTAAACCCCTCGCGAAGCACTCTTTCCCTCTGCCGAGCTCGGCGCATATTCGGGTTGATTTCCTCGAGCTCCCTGCCAGATGCCAAAAATGCTAAAAGGGACCCGGATTTAGACAATTACCCGAACTATGTTACAAATCCTACATCCTAAAAAATGCAAACTTTTTAGTGTATAGGGTTTAGGGGTTAAGGTTTTGGGTTTAGGATTTTAATTTCCAAAAACCCCTGGATAGTTAGGATTTTAATTTCCAAAACCCCCTGGATAAGAGTTCGGTCCCAGTCTCCGACACTCTCTGCCGGAAGCTGTTGGTCCCAAAACTTGCACCCCAACGCTCCCCCTGAACCGTCGAAAAAGTTATAGGCCGCAGGCTCGGAGCACTCACGTATCGGGCCCAAACCCTAAACCCCTTCAGCCTAAACCCCAAAACCCAAAACCCCTAAACTCCTTAACCCTAAACCCGTTAACCCTAAACCCGTTTCCGATTCCTTCGTGGAGGGCGCTCGGTCGTGCTGGGCTTGGGCACAGTGTCAGCTCCAACCCGCCGCACTGCACGCTTTGTGTCAGCCACATTGGGGAGGGAGATCCATAGCAAAGGCCGGTATGCGCAACAGAGGTCATGTCTGGAACTGGCCCGACATGTTGCAGCTGCCAAAGGCCAAGATACAGCATTCAGAGTGCACAGAGAAATGCTTTACAGCACAGGTGTTTTTCTCCAGGCTTGCCGGGGCGCTATGATTGATTTGGCGCCCCCCTACCCCAGAAATGCAGAAAACAAAAACGAAGGTCGGCCAAGCGTTCTCCTGTTCTTCGCCCCCAGCCTTTGTTGTCATAGGCGGCTGACGCCACATTACATGAGTAGAACACGGTAAGGTAGGACTCCGTTGCGTCTTATGTTCTGTCTGCATCCTGGTGCACCTAGACGTGAACACCAACACTGATCTCCACTGTATGCTACCCTTTGCAAGACCTCCGCGTGACAAATTCCCTAAACCCTAAACACTAAACCCTAAACCCGCTCTGAACAGTGAAAACTCCAAACCTTAAGCTCCCTTGACAAAGCCCGCCTGCTGATCTCAGCAACCTGCTCCGCATACCTCAGCATGTAGAACTCGCGACGCTTGGGGATTCGGCTCCAGAGCAGAAGCATCGGGTGTGGGGGGGTTTCCATTCGGGTCTAACGGGTTTCGAAGTTGTGGTCTTCAGCTTGTATACAGGTCTAATGCAGGGGCCTTAACAATTAGAATAGGGTTTTGGGGCCCATTATACTATATTTGTAATCAGGAACCCCACAATCATGTAGGTAATCATTAAGGCCCCTATATTAGCGTCAAGAAAGCGAAAGCCAGGATGCGGCGACAGGTTCGAATTCGGGACGAGGTCAGGGGACGAGGCTGCTCAAACTTGCAACTCAGTTTTACCCATAGTCTCCATTGTAGTTCTTGCTTTTGGTTTAACCAATTCTGCATTTAGGATCCTATAAGGTAACCCCAAAAAGGAACTACAATGGAGCCTATAGGGAAGAAGGGGCCGTTGGGAAGGCACTTCCTTGTAAGGAGAGCCCGGCCATGTAGGGGCCTTCATGATTCGAATAGGGTTTTGGGGCCCAGAATGCTATACTTATAATAAGGAACCCCCCAAAATAGTATAGCTAATTATCAAGGCCCGTATATTAAACCCGAAACCCAAACATGGGAACCTGCTTTCTGGATATTCGAATGGCAAGTATTTGGAATAAGGCTTCGGATCGCACTTCAGGGATCTTCAGGGCCTTCCTGATAGAGTATGGCTTTAAGGTCTAGGATTCAGGAGGGCCTTGATAGTTGGAGTAAGGATTTTGGGATGCTTTTGGGGAAAATCATATAAGCGCTTTGATCGTAAGACACCCTATGAGGAACATACTACTCGTGTTTATGTGGAGTACCGCACCCAGAGTAAGTACTTTCTGCAGACTTTAATTAGACCCCATTCTCGGTAATATTTGTATACTTGAGCCCTTGAAACCAAAAAAAATTGAGTTGATGTGCTTTAGTAATTGAGCCATAGGTTGCCACAGGCATCGAGGAATGCAGGAGCCCAGTAATCCCCGAACCCAAGCAAGGCAACAGAACCAAGACGTCAAGAACGAGGGAGCAGCAAGTTCAACAAAACGGCAGACCCGAAATCCTGAATCCTAGACCCTTACAGTAACCCTAAACCCTAAACCCTATAGTGGCATAGTGGCCTTGTAAAACACCCCAAAACTCGGTGCCCCACTTTCTAAACCCTCAAACCCTGCCCCACCGCCCCCAGCAAACTGTACGACTCCAGCGCCCTCAGCATGCCCTAGCCTAAACCCTAAACCCTAAACCTTGAACCCTAAACCTCTGACCCCTAAACCCTAAACCCTAAGCCTCTGAACCCTAAACCCTGAACCCTGAACCCTAAACCCTAAATCCTGAACCCTCAACCCTAAACTCTAAACTTCAAACCCTGAACCCTACACCTCTGAACTTGTGCGGCCCGGGAACTCCGTTTCCACGGTTTTCGTGTCCGTAACTCTGGAGTGCTCTGCAAGCTCCTCTGGTTTTATGATGCTTAGGGTTTGGGGCTTCAGGGCTCTAGGATTTAGGGTTTAGAGTTTAGGGTGTTAGGGTTTTAGGGAGTTTAGGCTTTTCTGGAGGGTGTTGCAGGGGTTTCCTAAGTGTTATCATAAAGGGCCACTCTGGTGTCAGGGCGCAGGGCTAGTTCGCTTTATGGTTCGTTGTTTAGGGTTTAAACCCCAGAGAATGTCAGGTATTTTAGGGGCCTTAAAAATTAGAATAGGGTTTTGGGGCCCAATCTACTACTCATAATAAGGCACCACCCAATATACTATTGGTAATTATTTGGGTAGGCCCCTACTTTATGGAGATGTGGTGTGCAGGGCCCAGAGACACTCAGCTATAGCATGAAAAGTTGAGGCAGCACTGAACGCAAACTCCGAGTCTGCTTTAAGGATCCCAGCAGAGAGGGTTTCGGGGTCGGGCCGTGAATTGAGGTCTTGTGTAGTTTAGGGTTTAGGGTTCAGAGCATGGGTTGCGACAGCCGAGCTAGTTATACTGTTCTGCAAAGGGTGTCGTGTTCCTGCAGTTACTCCCTTACATACCGCCGCTGATACCACTACGACGTAGAGCTGCTGTACTACCCAAAAGGGTCCTAGGTACCATTATAGGGCATACTACCCCAAATCATAGCAACAATCCCTCACTTTGAAACGTTACTTTCTACCATGTAGGTGCTTGAGACCCTTTGGGTGTTATTATTTCACATCCGATGGACTTGCCAACAGCGTGCCTCGGACCTAAAAAGTGCTGTGAATGCAGGACTTGCACACGACAAGTGAGAATTCATCCAGCGTGTCCCGAAAACCTAAACCTAAAACGGACATACATAAACCCAAAACCCTAAACCGTAGTAGCAGCACCAATGCCAACAACAGCCGCACCAGAAACGGCAGGAGCCGTTGAAGTTGTGTCGCCGCCATTCAGCCACAGGAATGATGAACAATGAACTCAGTCCACCCCAACCGGTCCCAAGTACCTAATATAGGGGCCTTCATGATTAGAATAGGGTTTGGGGGGCCATTAAACTTATACTATAATCAAAATCAGGAACCGCCAAAATAGTATAGGTAATTATTCAGGCTCCCATATCATAAGGTAGACTGTAGGGTTCCTAAAATAGGATGTGCTGCTATGACTTGGGGAAGTATCCCCCATAACAGTACCTAGGACCCTATGGGAACATGAACCGAGGACTGGGCTCCAAACAATCTTTCCTCAGACTAAAACGTAGACAACGGGAAAAGAGCAACCCTCTAATTGGTCATTCAGAAAGGCTAGGATGCTGCACCTTTTCGCATGGAGTGCTGTTTGCCACTTACCTAGTACCCCTTGTAGAGCCCTTAAGAACCCCTCATAAAACCTCTGCTGGTATCCCGTATAGCGTCCTTTTTAACCCTACTTGTAGCCCTACGCGCTATCCGGGTCCTTCTTGTCCTCGGGGAGGTTGACGAAATCGACACTGACGCTCCTCTTCTGGTCGACATCAAGATATCAAGTTGGAGTCAAGGGTTTCGGGCTTAGGATTTGGGGGTTTAGGCTTTTTGCGTTGGGGTTCAGAGTCTATAGGGTGCAGGGCTAAGGGTCTAAGGAGGATCCTGAATGACTGTTAGCTTTGCCAAAGCCACAGAGAAAATGCACCGCCCGATGGAAGACATCTACATGGTTTAGGCCTCCACCCTGGCAAACCCTGTGCTAGCCCTATATACCACCCGAAAGCCGTATTCTGATTGAGCAGGCAGTTTCGTTGGAGGATTCTTGGGTTTCGGGTATGCATAGATGGACCAGGATTTCACATGTGTCGCAAGGTGGAATTTCTTCTGAGAAGGACCCGTACCCGGATCTTGATAAGTTCCTAGGTTCCTAAGCGCGTGGGAAAGCCTCTTGGGATCCTTACTGTAACCCAACACTCTCGTGACCACTGGGAAAGCCCAAAAGGTCCCGACTGCAGCGCGTCAGCTCCACTAATGCAGACTGAGCGAGAGCCACACCCAAAAACCGAACTGGTAAGGCCTAGTAACCTGGTCCTACACATTAAGTAATGTAGGGGGCTTAATACTTAGACGAGGGTTTTGGGGTAATTATACTCTAAGTATGATAAGACACCCCCTCCAAAACAATATAGGAACTTATTCAGGCCCTCATAATATTAAACCCTTCACGGTTCTAGGCCCTGGTCACCAAGAAGGATTGCCTGCATTGGGTGCGGAAAATCCAGCTTTGCCGCATGCTGTGGGGCTGCTTCGAGTCCAGGGGGCAGACCCCCACCAAAAACCCAACATAGGGGACTAATTAGTGCCAGCATCCCCCTTCCAACCTTTGTAGAAGCATGATAATCTACGATTCCTTGTTCGAACCATTCAGCCTTTTGCCCGTATCTGTATCTATAGCTACATCTGTATCTATACCTATGTGTGCATGTTATTGTGTATTTTTATGTATTTGTAGATACAGTTAGACTTATATATATATATATATACCTATATATTCATGTGTGCTAATTTGCTTATAAGCATTCAAAGCCGTCCTACAGGCGTTCTCGAGGTCTTTCAAGGGCATCTCGTCGATCTCTTGTTCCCGCTCCAGGACCTGCCCAACAGGCTTTCCTACTGGAGTGAAGGGTCATGTGGCTTGAGGGAAGAGGGTTTAGGGTTTAGGGTCAGAGGGATTGAAGTTCAGGGCTTGTTACAATCTCATATGACGAAAACTATTTCAATTCTGTTTGTATACAGAGGGAGGCCGGAACATGAGTTCATAATATGCGATGTTCCTACTCGTGCGCTAACTAGGGGTCGCGGGCTTTAGGGTTGTTTACTGCGTGTGTTGCATTTTTTGTGGTGGCTCCTGGCGTAGTTTCTTCTCGGAGCCACCGTCTGCGGCCTGTATATGTGATTTCAAGCAGATTGCTAACATGCGATGTCATGCTAGGTGCCTTCCAGTAACTTGGGGGCGTCTTCGAGTCTGCTGAATGCTGAAGTATCATCGAGTGTTGTTGAGCGGTGTTCTATCGGAATCTAACGGATAGATGCGGCTTCGAGAAACACGTCACCATGTCAGACATGCCTGCTCGGGATGATTTCTTCTGACAAGCCCTGTAAAGCCAGGGAAAGTCAAGACTGCCTGACTTCCGTCAGTGCGCGAATACCAGGTTGGGAACATCTAACATGTCCCAAAGGCCTACCTAGTACTATGCACCTCCCTAAACCCTAAACCCTAAACTAGTACTATGCACCTCCCTAAACTCTAAACCCTAAACCCCAACCCCTAACCCCTCAACCCTGACCCCTAAACGCTAAACCCCAACCCCTAACCCCTAAACCCTCAAACCTCTAAACCCTAAACCCTAAACCCCAACCCCTAAACCCTAAATCCCTAAACCCTAAACCCCAACCCCTAAACCCTAAATCCCTAAACCCTAAATCCCTAAACCCTCAATAAGGCCGAAGCACCTCGAACCCAGAAGCTTCCCATCATACACACAGGTGGAATTCAACAATTCATGGTTTCGGGTACGCCAAGGGCCCCCTTGTTATACTTATAGTTAGTAACTTATAGTATAATATACCCCAAAACCCTGTGAATTCATGGTTTCGGGTACTCCAAGGGCCTAAAAAAAAAAACTACCAATGCCATTGTAGGGGGTCCTTGTTATACTTATTGCTAGTAACTTAGAGTATAAAATACCACCAAAACCCTGTTCGAATCACTCCCTAAACCCTAAACCCTAAACCCTAAACTCCTAAACCCTGTTCGAATCACTCTCTAAACCCTAAACCCTATATTCTGGGGTTCGAAGGCTCCGGAACAGCCCTGAGATGAAGAACGCGACGAAGTCTAAGCCAGGGCCAAGTCCCTTTCGAGAGACCCTTGCCTGAAGAACCCCAACTCTATAGGGTTTAGGGTTTAGGGTTTATTGGATCTAGGGTTTAGGGGTTAGGGTTTAGGGGTTTAGGGCCTTTGGGTTTAGGGGTTTCGGGGTTTAGGGGTTTAGGGTTTTAGGGTTTAGGGTTTGGGGGTGTAGGGTTTAGTGGTTTAGGGGTTTAGAGTTTAGGGGTTTAGGGGTTTAGGGGTTTAGGGGTTAGGGTTTAGGGTTTAGGGGTTTAGGGTTTAGGCTTTTAGGGTTGAGGGCTTTAGGGTTTAGGGCTAAATAGGAGGTAGGATTAGGGGGATCTTTGGGGATATAGATCCTCTCAATAAGGCCCCTTTGGAAGAAAGCCATCAGTAGGGTTCAGAAGGGTCCCCTTTAAGGGGACTCCCTAATCCTACCCAGGGCTTCAAGCAGGACCCCAGAAACTCGAAAGTCCTTAAACTCTTAGGTCCAGACCTCAAACGGCCACCCAAACACCCAAATCCCCCGAACCCCAGACCCTCTAAAAGAGTACCCACCACCTGCAACCTAAGTTGGCCCGTGGCCCGCTTCATACAAAAAAGTCTCGACTACTTTACAAGAAGGCTAAAGTTGTCAGGAGGTGGCTTAGGGTTTAGGATTTATAGGGTTGTCATGGGCTTATGAAGGGCTTCAAGAATCTTCTGATAGAGATTTAATGATTCACCAAGGGTTTGGAGTTGCATCCTAGCCTAACCTTACAGAGACGATAAAGGGATCACGTTGCTTCTCACCCCCTTTATTAGTACCAGCGAAGATGATAGCAATCTTAGGAGGTGCGGGCTGTGCAAAACAATGCATCTGTTGGCAGATTACCTGCTGTAACGATTCCCGGACTTAAGGACCCCCAAAAATGCACATAAGCAATAATTAGGATAGGGATATCCCATGTAAATCTTATGTCCTTTTTGGGTCCCTGAGACTGAAATTAGGGATTCGGTGTTGAGACGCCAGCTGGGCCTTGTCCATCGCCGATGTGTCGGGATGCCTGTTGGGGTTCTGGGTCTAGAGATACGGTTAATGATAGAAATCTTGCATTACCCATAAACAGGAATATACCAGAATTCCCTTAGGTTAGGGTCCTTAAGGTAATGCAGAATTTATATCATCAACCGCAAGGGCGTTGGTCCGTGTTTGCTGTTGCTTCCTCTAAGCCTTTTACGGCTTAGGGTTGGATTTGGGAGTTTGAGCTTGATGGCCTTACGGTGGCAAGCGGCCAAACTGCTGCGAAAAGCTACAGAACGACACGCTGTGAAGGATGCCGCACGTGCGCCGCTGGGGCGCGAAGCTCGTACGGCAACACAAAACCCTCCGAGCAGAGTTGCATTCTCACCCAAGACAAGCTTGTTTTGTCCAGGCTTCTACTTTGACTTGCTCAATACCGTTCCTCGAAAAGGTTGGTTGTGAGATTCAGGTCAGGGTTCTGTGTGCATAGGATTCTTTGCGGCGGCAGGTTTAGGTCTAATCATATAAGGCCCTCATTAACATCAATAGTAACCAACCCTAAAACCTAAATCCTAAACCGAAATAGAGTTTGGGGCTGAGGAATGGTATTGGTAATCTCCAAAGCTTCTATCTGATGACAGGGCATGTAGTTGAAATCTGGGCCCCAGAATCCCGAAAGCCCCCAAGCCCTAAACCCCCAAACCCATAAACCCCCGAAGCCCCACAACCCCAAAACCCAACATCCCCAAACCCATAAAAACACCACACCCCTAAATCCTAAACCCAAAACCCCAACACCCCCAAAAACCTGGACCCTAAAACCCTTAACCCCTAAACCCCAGCACCCCTAAGTTCCTAAACCACTAAAACCCTATAAACCCCAAAACCCTAAACCCTAAAGCCCCAAAACCCAAAGCCCTAAACCCAAAGCCCCCCAAACCCCAAAGCCCTAAACTGGCCTCAAGGGCAGGTCGATTCCTCGGTCGCCTGCGTGGGAAGTCATCTAGCGCTAGCGGAAAACGGTCTTGGTCGGATCGTGGCCTTGGGGCTCAAGCCCTAAAACCCCAAACCCGAAGCCCTAAGCCCTAAGCCCTAAGCCCTAACCCCTAAACCGAAACCATAAACCCTAAAGCTTAAACCTTAAGCCCTAAACCCTAAACCTTAAACCCTAAGCCCTAAACCCTAAACCTTAAGCCCAAAGCCCTGAGCGGTTAGGGCTTTAGGGCTGCTTAAGGGTTCAGGGATAGGGCATTAGGGCGTGGGGGGTGTGGGGTTTCGTTTTTGTTTGAGGGCTCAGGGTTTAGGGTGTAGTGGACGAGAATCGAATCGGAGGATAATGCCAGAACATATTGGTAGTTTTCTGAACTAAGGTCCCTGTTTGTATTGGCCCTCAAAATCGTACGGCACCCTTACAAACGGGAACCTAAAGGGTGCCCTAACCTAGAGAACTCACATCAAACCCGCCCACCCCCCAGAACTATGCAATGGCAAACCGAAGCCCAGAGCAATACTACCGTAGCCTTAATAGTTCGACCAGGGTTACTGCAGAGTTGTTGTTTGCATGTTTATAGGGTTCTACAAATAAGGCTATGAGAGATTTATGTAGGGCCTTTGGGCTTTGGGGTCCGTTATAGTATAAGTAGTATAGGAGCCACAAGGAAAATTGATTGACATTGCTAAGGCTTCTAGATTTGGAGTACGGAGCTGTGCAAAAGGCTCAGATGGTGAGCAAGCTTAGGGTTTCGGGTTTAGGGTTCGGGTGTATATCATTGTTTAGGGTTTGGGGCTGTTAAGGCGTAGGTGTTGGCGGCTGAGTATTCTAGTGTTTCCGGCTTCGTTTTGGGGGATAACCTACGTTTGTAGGACTGATACAACGAAGTCAAAGTTCCCTAAACCCTAAACCCAACCCACAAATGTAGGCTTGTGAGGGTCCCTGGCCGGGTTCTGAGGGCCCCGGCGGCACTCGCGGAAAATGGCACAGATCATGCTGAAGATGGTCTTCACCTTGAGGTAAGGGGGTTCAGGGTTTAGGGTTCTCGGTGCTTTATGGTTCAGGTTTAGGGTACAGGGGTTTAGGGTTTTGGGGTTTTAAGGTTCTAGAACAACTCTGACCCAGAGGGCCCATATATATTACTATTCTGGAATTAGGTCCCTAACACAAGAATAAGGACGGCCTTTGGGACTTAATTCCATAGTGGGTAGTATAGATGGACCCTCTGTGTAGGACACTCAGGTATGTATAGGTAATTGACACACCAGCCAATAGTTTCGAGATGTGCTAAATCCTCAATCCTAGGCACTGAACACCAAACGCACATCCACAGCACGGTATTTCAAGCCAAACACGACGAACTCGAATTAATCAAAGCCGTAGGGTAACCTGCGTCGAGCCCTTTTCCATGCCTCAACAACAGATACAACGGACAATTTCCGTGACATGTACGGTTAAGGGTATAAGCAGCGTGCTTGTTGCGCAGGATCAGCCGCCTGTAGGACCCTGAAGAACCCTGCCGAAACCCGGAACCCCGAGAAAATGCTGTACATTCGCGCATAAGCCTTCGAGAGCTCAACATCCCCCATTCGGCTTCAGGATTTGGGTTTTGCATCAGTGTAGATGTTAAGACATGCACAAACCCCACACCCTATAATCCCTGAGCCATACCTAAACTCTGCGCTGGAAACTACCTTCTTATTATGTACTGATGACCGGACTCGGGGGGCCTCATGTATCGGTGACAGGCTCCGTCAAGGCTGAGGATGTAGTACTTCGTGTCAATGCACGGTTTGCGCATGTATCCGAAACGCCAAGCCAGAAAATCCTAAACTATGAACCCTAAAGCCTAGGACGGTTCAGGGCCCTAAACCCGTCGCGGGCCGCTTAATCTGTAAGCAACGCCTCACCTTCTCGTTCTGGCGCTTCAGCCGCTTTTTGGCATCATCTGCCTGGACCTTGGATGACGGCTTCTCTCGGATTTTCGGGTTCAGGACCTCAGTCTGGGGCTTCGTAAGGGTTTAGGGTTTAGTGTTTAAGTTGGGCCTGGGATGGTTTGGGGATGCGTGCCAGGCACTGGTCGTTTTTTCCTCCATTTTGAGTTCAGGGGTTGGGGGTTTGGGGTTTCCCTCACTGGAACATTGCGCTGCGACTGCATTCTGTCCGCACTTTGGCAGCGAGCTGATTGTAGACCTCTGGCGCTTCGTGTCTGAAAGGCTTTCGACTTAGGTGCTGACAGTTTAGGGTGACTAGGATGACTAAGGTTTACACTTGGGTTTTAGGGAACTCTGGGGGCGGGGGGGCCGAGGGGCTGTATAACATGAAACTGGACCTAGACAAAGCCCCCATACCCTTGACCCCCCAACATCGAAAAATCGAAAACTGAAACAACACAATGACAAGCCACACGCACACACACCCCAACACACAGAAACACAAGTCATGTCACGAAAAAACTTGAAACAGAGCCCCTAACACTAAACCCTAAGCCCAACAACTCGAATTGCTTTCTCTAACGGCAGAGCTTTAAATTTGGAGCTGTCAAGCCCGCAACCTGCAGAAACAAAAATGTAGGGGCCTTAATGATTAGAATAGGGCTTTGGGGTATAGGGTTTGGGGTTCAGGGTATATTACCCCCAAAAGAGCCCGAATTTAGAACCCAACAGACTCGGCACAGGCTTGGTGAAATAGTCACTGAAGACTTCGCCATGTAGGGGGTTTACATAGGAATGATGTCGAAAGTTGTTAAACCATATCTCACACCCTAACCCCTAAACCCTAAACACACACCCCATAGGCCGAGCCCGAAACCTCAGGAAAGGCTCAACATCCTGCGCACTGCACTCAAGCCTGAACCCTTATAAATCCCGGTGCCTTCAGCTTGTAGATGTCCGTTCGACCCAGCTTATTTGAGTCCTCAAACTTCTCCTGCAAGGTCTCAGGGGTTCGGATTATGAGCTTCATCCTAGAAGCATTTGATACGGGGTCTTTCGCGTTTACATGCGGGTTGCATCTGTGCTGTATACAGGCTCTGTACGGGCTTCATCACTGGTCATGAGTCCGATCGTGAATCGTGATACTAATGTAGGAACTTTTCCTAAAAGGAACCCGAAATCACCGATTTGAGGACCATGATATAATATAATATAGGGCCTTAATAATTAGAATAGGGCTTGGGGGATAGTATACTATAACTACAATAAGGAACCCCCAAAATAGCATTGGTAATTTTTAGGCCCCTATCATATCCAGAACCAGGGTTTTGCATCAAACCTGAAAAACATGTCAACATCCTACAATTATTTAGCCCTCGACCCACAACAAGCTTCTAAAACAAACAAGACACAACCATAAAACCCTGCAGCCCTGGAAACCGAGTTCAATGAAACGCTACGAAATCCTGTAACCCTAAAACAGCTTCGAAAGAATGGCTAAGTAGGGGAAGAAGTACACCTACCTCAAAGGGATTCTATGGAGTTTGAACCATCACACTATATCTATATAAATAAATATATATATATATATATACATAGCTCATATTTGTATATATATATATATGCTGATATATACATATGGCTATACTATGCTATAATTGCTATCCCAAACCCTGGCCCCTAAAACCCTAAACCCAAGCTTCTTGGAGTCTCGGGAATGCCCTCATAGAAACCTCTTGCAGAACTCGTGTAGACCTGCTAAAAAAGACCCAATGGTTTAGGGTTTAGGGTTTAGGGTACCCAATGTGCAAACCCCTTATAGACCACTTTTGCGACTTTTCGTTCTCGAACCCTCCTAGGAACGCCTTATCCACAGAAGCCTTCCAAAGAACCCCGTCATGGGGCTGAGGATAAACTTTCTCAGAAACCTTAGGCCGTAAGCCAGGACTTTGCTCTTTGGGGTTTAGGTTTTAGGGTTCAGAGGTTTAGGGCTTGGGGTCCCTAAACCCTATACCCTAAATCCTAAACGCTAAACCCTAAATCCTAAACCCTAAACTCCCAGGGTTTGGGCTCTCCTTCTGCTCTTTGGCCTTTCGCACGCGCTCGTCGGCTGCCTGGCGCGAGACTTCAGAATGAAACCCTCCGGGGTGCTTAGGGGTTTAGAGGTTTTGGGTTTAGGGTTTAGGGTTTAGGGTTTAGGGTTTAGGAGTTTCGAGTGAAGATCCGACTGCGGCTCATGTTTGGGTCCCCTACTTTCTGAAACTTTATCTGGGTTGGCGTTTAAAGCCTCTGAAAAATATTTGTGTAACGGGCCCCTTATAAACCCAAATAAGGAAAATAAAAAATAAAAAATGTCCCAAAAACCAACCTAGTTATGGTCGTTCAGCATTGGATTCAGTTTTAAAGTCTAATGGGCTTACACATTCACCAGAAGCAGCATCAGCAATCGAGCGACGATGACAAGCTCGCGACAACGTGCATCTTCTTCCAAGGGCTTCGTGGGCTCTTGTTCGTAGTGCTCTAAATTACGGTCCCTTCTAGCTTCCTTTCTATAAGAGTGCGTATTATTTTGGGGACCTAAAACGGGGCCCTAATCTCGTCGACTACCCATGTAAGTTATCATAACTGAAGGGTCCATAGAAACTAGAAGGGGCTTATCAGTTCAACCAGGTCTTGGAAGGATTCAATAGGGTTTTGCAAATTAAACCCTAAACCCTAAACCCTAAACCGTTTTGCAAAGTTTTGAAAACGGCTTAAATGAATTGCAGAGTATGAGTCTACATGGAAGTTTACGCGGGGGCTGAGGAACTTGTCAGTTGCTCTGCCTGGAGTGCATTACGTAGGGGCCTTAATAATTCGAATAGGGTTTTGGGGGTTCCTTATTATACTTATAGAATAATATACCCCAAATCCTATTCTAATTATTCTTAAAGCCTTTATAGTAACAGGGTCACACACTACAGACACAGCATGTTTTCCTTATTATTGCGGCCTGAGTATTACCTACAGCTTGTGTAAGGAAAAGCGCCCTCACCACTAAATCCCCGCAGCCCTAACCCCAAACCCAAAAATCCCCAAAAACTAAACCCTAAACCCGATAACGATGTTAATTAACATTTGGGAGTTTCCGAGAATGGGGTACCCTAATTAGTATCCTAAATAGTAGGATCCTTATTATAAGGACCGCAAAAGAAGGTACTCCTTAACTCCTGTATGGGTCTAGAAGAAGTTCCATCCTTAACGCACCGGAAGACTTAACTGAAGTCCATGTAAGCAATCCAAAACTATCCCGAGACCCAACGCACACAAATCATGAAACCTGGACTCCAGAGACCTTCGCCCCAAACTCCAATCCCCCAACTATAGACCCTCAAAGCCAAACCCATAGACAACAAACGCAACTCCATCCCTACATCATCTCCGAACGCCTTCTTAACAAAACAAACGCCAACCTGCACTTTTGCCGCGGATTGGGTTTGGAGCTCCTGCGCGCCCGTTTCGGGCTTACGGTTTAGGGGTTCTGGGTGGCTCTTAGGATTCGGGTTTTGGGGATTAGGATTTAGGGATTAGGGTGTAGGGTTTGGGGATTAGGATTTAGGGATTAGGGTGTAGGGTTTAGGGTTTAGGGATTAGGGTTTAGGGTTTGGATTTGGGGATCAGGGCTCTGATCCCTCAGGCTTAGGCCCATAGTCTCCATTGTAGTTCCTTTTTCGGTTTAACCAACTATATATTAGGGATTAAGCCTAAACCCTAAACCCTAAACCCTAAACCCTAAACCCTAAACCCTGAAAGGATTCTATAAGGTAGCCCCCAAAAAGGAACTACAATGGAGCCTATAGGTAGGGTGGAGGTTCCAAGGATGCAAACAGATGTACTTGGGGCTATGTGCGGCTCGGGGGTGTATGAAGTTTCGGGACTTTTTCGGGCTCGTAAGGTTTCATAAGGGTTCATACGAGGGTGTAAGTTCAGACTCATGAGGGCTTACTATGTTTAGATGTATGGATGTTTCAGAACTGTTTTTTGGGGGGCGCGTTAGGGATTGTTAGCGGCTCAGAAGAGGACTTTCGAGAGGTCTTCGGGGTTCAGAGTTTCAGGGTCTAGGGTTTAGGGTTTGGGTTGATGGTCAATCTGGTACTTTGGTGCTTTGGGAATGTGCTGTGAGGTAGCTTTGTTTCAGACAGGTTCAGCACTAATTATTAATCTGCGTTGTGGGTTTCAGGTCTGTAGGATTCGAGGGTTTGGGGTTCACACGGGATCGCTGGCTTCAGAGCTTGGGAGATTCAGGGGTTCGGATTCTACAAGCTTTGAGGGTTTAAGTCAAGTGTTTCACGGCTTCGTGGCCTGTGGCTTGAGCACCAACACGCCCATTGTGACACTATTGCGAAAGCGCAGTTCATCTGGGTTTTAGTTTTTAGCCTGGTTGTTTGAAAAGACTGACTCCTTTCGGACGAAAGTCCTATGCAGTTTGAGTACGTGGACCCTGTCACTGACTTCTGACTGCGGATGTTGTCCAGCGATCTCCATGGCGCACAAAAGTAGGGCTGGGGGGCTAGGGATCACAAGGGCCGTTGGCCGAAAGGTTGAGTGCTAAAGATCATCTCCTTCGGGTTTAGGGTTCCTTTGTCTACCTCCAAACCCTAAAACCAAAACATCACAAAGACCCAAACCATCATCAACCCGAAATACAACGAACTCCAAGCTGCCCTAACCTTGTGCGACCACAGACTCTAAAGCCCGGAGCTGCACAGGCTCTGCTTTAAAACTGCCCCAAACCAGCCAACGCCTGCAGTAGAGGCAAGAAAGCCAACAGCAGTATCCTGATGACAGGAATATGAAATGCGATACAGCTCAGTACTAATCATCCTTATGCCTTATGCCAAAGTAAAAACCCCAACCGCATGATACCCGTAAAACCCTCATAGTAATCCGAATGGCAACCCCGTTAGTTGACGACCTTTCAGAACCACATAGAACCCCCATAAAAACCCAAACCTCAAAACCCCAAACCCTGAACCCTACAAACCTTCACAACCCTAAAAACCCTAAACCCCAAACCCCAAACCCTGAACCCTAAAACCCCTTAAAGCCATTAAAGCCCGCCTAACACGAACCCCGAACCTTCACAGCCCCGGGCGGGCCTGCAGCTCTACGCTTCGCTGCTCCGCTAAGCCACGGTCCCGCTGGTATCTAGGATTTCTGGAGCTTTGTTTTTTCAACGTTTCGGATGCAGGCGGTCTTCGGCCCTTAATCCAGATTATGCGACAACCTCAGTAGTACACCATAATATAGGTGCCTTCATAACTCGAATAGGGTTTTGGCCCATATAATACAATAACTTTGATAAGGAGCCCCCCAAAATAGTGTAGGTCATTATTTCGGCCCCTATATGGGAGTTTCCGAAAATAGGGGACCCTAATATAGTACCCTAAATGCGAGGATCCTTATTATAAGAACCCCAAAATAAGGTACCCTAATTTTTGGAAACTCCCATATGAACATCGCTAACTCTGGGAAATTGGTCCGAAAAGCTCATCCCCGAGGCTTTTGAAGCCCACGATGCCTGGAACCGCTGACCTTAAGGACCGAACTGCAAATGACAGTTTAGGGTTTAGGGGTTTAAGGTTTAGGGTTTAGGGTTTTAGGGTTTGGGGGTTTTGGGTTTAGGGGTTTAGGGGTGTAAGGTTTGGGGGTTTAGGGGTTTAGGGTTTGGGGGCTTAGGGGTTAAACCCAGGCCCAGCACCCAAAACACTGAACGCAAAACCAGCTTGAAGCCACAAGCCCTCTACCCGAAGCACAATTTCTGTACGAAGCCCCATGAGCCCGAAAACCGGCCTACATCCCTAAACCCGAAATCCCCAGCTAGTCTGCGACGCCCGAAGCCGCAAACCCAGAGTTCCTACAACATGGAAAGCACTAAACCAAAAACCCTATAAATCCTAAACCCATCCATCTTCCTTAACTATTATCCTTAGACGATAGCGGACGCCAAAAACCCTATTCTAATTATTATTATTATTCTTTCTTATTTTGACTATTATTTTTAAGGCCCCTTCATCTAGAGTTCAAAAAAACTTCGAAAGCTCGAACCACTCCTTGGCACCGGGCTGTTGAAGGTCTTGTTTAAACTGGTCCAACCTCCACTCAGACATGGTTTAGGGTTTAGGGCTCAGGTTTGTGTTTTTTTTCTTAAGGGGGAGGGGGGGGGGTGGTTAGGGTTTTGGGGTTTAGTGCCAAAAAAAATGAACGAGCATCCCCAGAATGACACTGGGTTCCTCAACAGGACCCTGGGGAGGTTTGAAAGGGCATTGAACTTGATATAGCTCCATAAACATCTAGCAGCGCCCTTGCTAGAGAAGGAGCCTACAGGGCCTTTTGGGTTGAGGGTTTGGGGCTAAAGCCCTAAACCCTAAACCCTAACTGGCGGTTTCAGAATATTCACGGCCTTCGAGGTTTAGGGGTGTGGATTCTCGAGGGGACTACAGCGGGCCATTCTGGGTTCTATGTTGCTCGGGTCGGTGTTGTACCCAAATTATGTACTCCTTATAAAAGTTCCCAAGCTTTCGATCCTACAACGAATTGTAGAAGGTCCGGCCGCTTTCTACGATTTCTCCTACCCAAGACCACCAAGACCCTGAAGTGGAAAGAGCAATTCTTCATTGCTTACAGATTGCGGCAAGCAAAGACGAAGAAGCAATCCCCACTAAACCCTAAACCCTAAACCCTAAACCCGAACTAGCTACCTCTTGCTTTGCCACAGCTGCTCCGGGCATGATATAGCCCAGCAAAGAAACTAAAGAAAGGCTTCGGGATCGGACGTGCTCTCATAGACCCCCCCCCTTCCGGGCGTGATTGGCAAGTGCTTAAGAACCAAAGAGAGGGACAGGGACAGAGACGCCTGCAATTATCACATTAAGTACTTGTGCATCTGAACATGCAGCCCTTCCTATCTAGTTTGTCTGCATATATATATATATATATGTACATACCTGTATGTATGTATGTATGTATGTATGCATGTATGTAAGTATGTATGTAAGTATGCATATAAATGTAAATGAATACATAAATACATATGTATATATATATATATATATGTATGTACACCCATGTATGATCACTTATGCTAGTCTGTGATTTTTGTGTTCAATGGGTAGCCTCGAAGCGTCAATCAAGCCGCGCACATGCCTTGTATAGCAAACTTCATGATCACATCATACTATGTCAAACTGCGCTGCACATACCCGCGGTCCCCCCTTTCAAACACCACAGCCGCAGTAATACTGATGATATGTGTATACATATATATATATATACATATACATACACATACATACGTACATATATATATATATATACATATATATATATATATGAGAGTATGTACCACTATATAAGCTCAGTCAAACCTTAGGACCCCAAAACCGCCTGAGCTCTAAACCCTAAACCCTAAATCTAAACTTTAAACCCCAAGCCCCCACCCCTCAGCTCTAAACCCTGAACCCTAAATCCGAAACCCTGAACTCTAAACCCTGAAGCTCTAAACCCAAGGTCCGGACCTAACAGTCTCAAGCCCAAAGATGCAAAAAAACATGACCCTGAACGAACCCGAAGCCCCAATGTAAAGTATGGCGTTGATCATTCGAATACTTTTTTGATGGGGGTGTGCCGAGATTTGCTATACGATTATGTAGCGACTGCTTCGGAGATCATGATTGAAATTATTCAGACGCCTAGCATGTTTTCGTTTGGCTTCTTATGGTTGAGCACGAGCTTCCATTCTAGCCGCCCCAGATAAATCTGCTGCAGAATGAAGGCCTAGCAACACAGGACGGAAGCGACATGATGTGACAACACAAATAGCGACGACACATTTATAGCTTCGCGACCGCATACGGACGAGAGGTAACATCGTTACAGATCATCACAATCACCGGCACCACCATCACCACCACGACCATCACAACCATGACAGCCATCAGCCTCATCCAAATGCCCTCAATCTCCAAAACCCTGAACGCTGAGGCTCTCAAACAACGAACAACAACTATGAGATCCTTACCAGAAAACTGTAAGAGCTCTTCAAAACCCTAAAACGTCCTGAGAGATCTTAAATCCGAATATGTCCATGTCAGTTCTCGCTGGTATCGTTTATACTTACAGAGCCTTTCCACTGCAAACCCTAAACCCTATTTAAAGAACCATGCATTTGAGCCGGCCTATGGGAGGACCGGTATCGCTGCTCAGCGCGGGTCGCCTCTGCTGAGACGCGCCGAAGGTGGTCCTGTTTAGGGTTTAAGGTTCTGTGCCCAGGCGATTTCTTCGTCTCGAACCGGTTCACAAGGGTTTCTTGGGGACGGGATAGAAGTTGGCGTTGGTTCATGGTGTTGGGGCTGTGTTAGTGGGGTTTAGGGTCTTGGGGTTTTGAAGTCTGTTTTGGAAAAGGCGGGCTTTAGGCTGTCGGACGGTTCCATATGCTCTTGTGGGTCTAGACGGCTTCTGGCTAAGGGGCTTAAGAATAACATGGGGACCATGGGGATCTCTTTCAAAAGGAGGCGCACTGTGCAGGGCCACTTGCTCACAAACGGAACAGGGTCTCGGGTTGTGTTTTGCTTAAGCGCTACGGCCATGGGTTGATAGGGGACTCCTACATTGCAAGCACCGCATCAAGGTAAGGTAAGGGCCTTAAGTAAGACTCAGAATAGGGTTCTGGGGTCTATTCTACGATAACTATTATAATGAAAAAAGGAACCCCCAATTCACCCTTGCCGTAAACCCCGAGCCCTGTTTCAGAGGTGCTTGGAGTGGGGTCGGGGTTCAGGTAACTGAGTCCTACAACCGGAACTCACTCGAAAGTGGAATCAAGTCTTGCTTGTACAGCTTCGTTGCATCCCAAACGCTGAAAGTACTGGTTACCTTTATAAGGAACCTAAGACTCCAAAAAGGGAGAAAGGGCCAACTGGGAGACACGGATTCCACACGGTCAATGGAGCGGCCTCGTACTGCTCTATTTCCGACCGCAACTTTTGCTTTTCACGCTCCTCTCGCATGAGCACCTGTTGGGTGCGTGGAAGGGGTTTAAGCATTGCTTCGTCTGTTTGCTTTGGGTTTTGGGTCTTAGCTTTTTGCAACGGCTTTGGCTCGTGATGTACCTGCGTCACGCATTGCGAGCATCCCTGCTGATTTGCTTTCTCACGCGAGGATTCATACGAATGTGTAGTTCATTGCCTCTTACCAAATGACAAAGTATGGCGATGTCTAACGCAAACGAAGCCTGCACAGAAGGACTTCGGCTTGGAATCTTCGATGGGCATGCAATGTTCATGCCGGCGAACAATAGCTGCTTGGAGGCCCACGGACAGTTGTAAGGCAAGGGCCTTAGTAATCAGAATAGGGTTTGGGGGTTCCTTACTGAAATTCTAGTATAATATACCCCAAACCCTATTCTAACTATTAAGGCCCCCATACTGGGTGCAATCCAGGTTTTGCACCTACGATGGAACGCTGAATCCCTATTTTTAATCTTCCAGCAGGATGAAACAGGGAAGCCCGGATTTCGAAGCCTCAATATACAGACATGTCCATACGTGCCAACCCATCGACACTTATTTCCCAGAAAGCCCCACAGCCAAACTCTCTGAATGCAGGCCCTATTAGCTGGTCCGAAGGGCCCAAGTGCTCCCTACCGCGGGGTCTTGGATCCATTTGGGCCGCCAGAAATCCTAAACCCTAAAACCCTAAACTCGCAGGTGTATGCTTTAGCATTCAGCCTGTGAAGAACACCACGTGGCCTTAGGCTCCCAAGCATTCCCAAGCACTGAAAGTGACGTCAGAGCTCGTGTCCTAGACTTCTGCAGCTTTAGATTCAATCCGTGAACCCGATAAAGGCCGTATAGTCTACCAAGGTGCCATTCTGCGAAGCAAAAAAAGATATAATAAACATCCTACATAGCATTCCCCTATAGAGCCTCGACTCTATGGCTCGTACTTGAACCGAAAAGCCGAAAGCTGAACCCAGCGATGGTCGCCAGGCCTCACGGACATCTACGCCTCAGTGGGAGTGTTGGAATGCTGGGCATTATCTTAGGGTTTAGCGTTTAGAGTTTAGGGTGTAGGGTTAGGGGTTATAGCACGGAGATTCTTATCTGCAATCTGACTCTTTTGGCGTCTGGTCACGAACTATATAGCTTTCCTTTGATGTTCGCACACGCAGATCTCGCGCAAACACTTCAGCGCTACTGACATTGTTCTTTTGTTGAATTATAGCCCTACCTTAAACTCTATAGGCCCCAAAAAACCCTAAGCTCTGGTTTGAACTCCTGTCCCTGAACTCCCAAACGCAATGTTAGGCGGTTTGCAACTTGCCCTGAACCCTACACCCTAAACTCTAAATCCAACCCCCTAAATACTAAACTTTACTAAACCCTAAACCCTGCGCCCCAAACCCCACCAGCTGCAACCCCCTATCAAGCCGAAGGAAAGCAGACCCAGAGACCGATCGCAGGGGCCTTCAAAATCATAAAAAGGCATTGGTAGACAAAGTAAACCTATGTCTATGTGCGTAGATCTTTAAGTTAGGGTACCTTTTAGGATCCTTTGTAAAAGGGTGCCGTACAAAATTGGGGACCTAAAACGGGACCCCAATTAAGAAAACTACCCATAGAGAGAGATGCTGTTACTAGCTGTGCAAGCTCTACATTAACCTCAATCTTGAACTTCACCAAAAGTGCCCACGCGCCACACTCCCGACACCCACCCCAAGCACTCAATTCATCCACTCTCCATTAGCATACTGAGCCAATTTATGTATTCACCGGCCCTTGAACAGTGTAAACTCTGGTTATACCAGCTTTATACCTACCCAAAGAGGCTGCCTTCTCAACCGTTAAACTACTACAGAAACCCCACAACCCCATACCCATAACGCCCAAACCGCAAACTCTGAAGTACAAAAACCTAATTCCAGTACCCCTTGACTCATAAACTCCATAGCACCCCTGAGGAATCCTGAAACGAAGCCTTAAGGGAACCCTTGATAGAACCTGTACAGAAAGCCCTAAATATTGAAGCAAACCTTAAGGAACCTTAATTCTTAAACCATAAACCCTGAAAGAAAACTCGTAAAACGTCTTGAAGAAGCTCTGACCGCTTAGAGTGAGAAGGGCAACTAAGCTTCATAACCGCCCTCAGCCCCAAACCCTTATACCCCTAAACCCTTTGAACCCCAAAGCCGCGGCGCCAAGTTCGGAGTTGAGCTTCTTGAAATGGGCCTTGCCGAGCTTCAGGAGCTCTGCCTTCCGCTGGACAAGCTTTGCAGAGTGTCGGGGTTTGGGTTTCGGGTGCGGGAGGGGAAGGGTAGGGGGGCTGAAAAGGTGAAGGGGTGGGTGACGGGAGGGGGGGGAGGGATGGACTGTTCAGGACTATGTGATAAGCTCGTCTTGAACTTGGTCTGCATGCACAGTAGCAGTAGCAAGTTCATCAACCCCGACGGCAAGAACAGCTGGAACAATAACAACACCGCCAGAGAACCCACACAACCCGAACACACCGCAGACCCCACAAGCATTATCACAACATCGACATCAGCATCAAAAACATCAGCACCACAGGCCCAGCGGAACCAGCTGAGCCGGCAAACCCCGCAGATCAACATCACAAATAGGAGCAACAGCAGCAACAACAACAATTATTATTATTATTACACTTACAATAACAATTATTACAAGTTTATTGGACACTGAGCGAGCGGGCTATGCTCATAGCGGGCGAATTGCCACTGCCATAGCACCAGACTGTACAGAAATCAAAGCTTTGGAGAAAGAATATGAGAGCCAAAAGAATGGCCGTTTCAGGTCACTGTCTCGACCGTGATGAGCACGGTCAAGGCGTTGCCCTGTTGTAGGCTCGTCCGGCCAATGTGAAAGGATGAACGGAATGACCATAGGGATCAGAGAATCCTTTGAGGCCAACCGAATAAGCGACAGCGATTCCAAGCTCTGCGTCATAGCCTTCCAAGCCATCTACAAGGCCGCCATGGACAAGGTCCAGAACCCCTTCCAGGTGTATTTTCCAGAACGCTACGCGTGCGCAGAAGGCTAGTCTCAATCTCCCACATGGAGACACCATCTTCTACAAGATCAAGGCTATTGGCTCGCAGGAGCCCAGCAGGTTTGCAAAAAGAGCCCAAATGGGGTGCAGAAGAGACAGGCTCCAGCCACGGCAGCGGATGATGCACCTGACTGGGACGACTGGGCGGACTGGCGAGGCTGGCAAGGATGGAAGGAGTCTGATCGGCGGTGGGTCAAATGCACTACACGCAAGGGCACCGCTGAGCACCACGAGGAGCACCGTCCGATTGAGGTCGGGTAGCCCGCCATTTCTGTGAGACACCTTTCAACGTGGCATGGAGGCCCCCGACCCCGAGCTTGGGTGACTGGTTGCCAACACCACTCATCCTGAGATCAGGATCCCCCAACTTCAGATTTGTTCAAGGTAATCTTGGTAACGCTCAGGTGTGAGCTTCTACATATAGACCTGGATGCAGGCTTTCGCTTGCCTTCGCGCAGCGGCAGGACTCCTTTGGACTCCTGGCCTTCAACGGGAACATGAGCTGAGCCTTCGCCACCTCTGCATCCGTCTCGTAGTGCATCGCAAAAACGGAGCGCCATGCATTTTTGTGCTGCTGGTAACGACGGAGACTGGGAGTGGGGATGGCTCGACTTGTGGCTGCCTTGATCATGGTGTTAACACTCGCCGTGCTTTGGTCGAACTCGACGGTCCCCGGCGCCCCTACACACCCCTTAGAAACATCTCTATAAACTATTATAGCCGGGCTTTGTAGATGGTAAACCTTAAAGCCCAAACCGTTTCGGAGCCTCCAAACCTTCCTTCTCCTTGCGCACGGCTGCATAGGCCGCCTCGCCTGCCACTAGTTATGTAGGGGCCTTAATAATTAGAATAGGGTTTTGGGGCCCATTATACTATAAGTATAAGAAAGAACTCCAAAAACAAAATTGGTAATTATTCATGCCCTACATTACCTCCTACTGTTGTTGTACAGAAGGGACTGCCATGGGGCCTGGGTTTTTGCACACCACACTTCAGCATACGTTCGGTACTTGTCGTTTCGGTACTTGTTGTTCTGCATTACTATAAGGGATACTATGTAGGATTGGTTTCATGTAGGGGCCTTACTGTAATATTTAGAATAGGGTTTGGGGGTATTTTATAGTATACTTACAATACTTACAATAAGGAACCCCCCAAAATAGTATGGGTAATTATTTAGACCCCTATATTATAGGGTTTATAGCGCAAGATGCATGATGTTCTTGGAGGAGTTTATGGATTTGTCGGAGATTGGGGTCGTTTCTTACGTTTCTTCGCGTGTTGAGCTGAGTTGTTTAGAGGATTACCGGGCCTTTTTGGGTGTGGATCTTCTATTCGGTGTCGCGGGCTGTTGTGACTTTCGGGGTTTATGACGCTCTCGGATGTTGAGGTTTCGAGAATTTGGGGCTTCAGTGTCAAAAGCGACATGTTTTGCCCTCATAAGAATTTGGGAGTTCGGGTTGATCACGTGAGAAAGTTTGGAGTTCAGGGTTAAAGGTTTGACGTTTCTAAGTCATGGTGTAGGTCTAGGTTGTTTCCAGTGCGGGGCTTCGAATCTAAAAGGCGACTGTATATGCATTGAAAGGTTCAAGGTCATGCAGAGTGTACGGCTTCAGGGTGCAGGGCTCCCACACTGAGACATTCCACAAACGAGGGTTACCTGCAGCAGGAATTCTACATCGATACCGGTTCAAAAGTCTTATTTAAGTATCATCATCACGACTGCATCACCAGCACCACCATCATCATCATCACCATCATCATCATAATCTAATGAATCTAATGATTACCTTTCATGCAAATGAATGCTGGCGCGTGCAACTACAAAAGCTGGCACTTTCGTTCGGGAGTACTGCCAGAATCTGACGTAACACCACCATCCATTGGAACAGCTCTGGCAGCCAGAATCGGGGTATAATACGATCAAAATATGGGGGCAGACACTGGCAGAGGATTTAGGAGCAGGGACAGTCAGCTCTAGTGGAGCGAGAGTACAGCGAACGGCACCAGCAACACTCAGCTTCGTCCTTCTTCTTTACAGCAGGACAGAAGTCACCCCGGCCGCCTTTGTTCAGGCGGGCGCCAAACTCCTGCATGCACTCAGAGCGAAGCTCACGAGTTAACCAAGTGATGAACTAGTGGCTTCGTTTGAAACAACCAGTATCATGCTGTGGCTATCAGATACTGACTGTATTATCGACTTGGATGTTGTGATAAAATAGCTTTTCAGTCTTGTAACAAGTGCATCGTGACGTCTGATGCTTTGGACACTATAGCAAATCCATGTACTGCTTTCTCCTATCAAAGCACTACTTGCCACGGGTGTCTGCAGCTTGCAAACTACCGGCCCGTTAAGAACACCTTACAGTTTCGGGCGTGGTTGGGGCAACTGCTTCAATATGCAGAGGTACAGTTCAAAAGGGTCAAACCCTAAACCCTAAACCCCAAACAACGATTGGAAGTGGGTGGCCACGCTTGCATCAACCACCTCCATCCAACTCCTGGAGCCGGAAGCCTCAACTGAAACATCAAATTCCCAAGCCAGTCAAGGACTACTGTAGGGACCTTAGTAATTTCAATAGGGTTTTGGGGCCCATTTTGCTATGGTTGTAATAACGAGCCCCCAAAATAGTATAGGTAANNTAATTATTTAAGCCCCTATATTAGGAGGATTAGGATTGGGTGTCCAGAGTCCAGGGCCTATGGTCAACGCCAATCTAGATTTACCTCCTGCCCTGGTGAGTTGTCCTCGATCTGCTTTGTCAGCTTCCTAGGCGCGTGGTATCGAGTTTGGGGTCCGGGGCTGCGGGGGCGGGACTTCATGCCTGCCCGGATCGGCTTAGCATCTGCTACTTGCTTCTATACATGGCCACCACCTCTCCCAGCACTGCTAAAGTCTACCTACCACAACCAACGACAGCAACAACAACGACGACGAC